TTAAAAAGTTTTAATTTTTCTGGAGTATTTTTCTATTGGTGGACAAGGTTTCTCGAAGATCCTGTCATTTGAATGTTACTAGGAAAATATCATTCAATACAAAGTTTTCTTAGAAATTCAGGGGTAGAAAGTACGATAAAGCATGTCTATTTATTTGTTATACTTAATGGAATACTTCCATTTATTTTAAGTCTTATAGCTTGGTTTATTTGGACCTCAGCAAGAGCATTTAGGCTTTTAGATGAGCAAAACTACATTTCAAATATCAAAACCTCATGTATACTTGTTGCTTATCTATGCTATCCAATCATTACATAGAACAGTTTCTCTTTGTTTAGTTGTGTTGAAATGGATGATGGGAAACAGTATCTAAGATCTGATATGAGTATTTAATGCTGGACTGAAGATCATAGAAAGTTTTCCATGGCAATATCTATTCCATTTATCTTATTTTGGGCTATTTGCTTCCCATGTTTCATCTCTCTTCAATTGATGATAAACAGAGAGAATCTATCTGAAGTAAAAATTATAAAATAGTATGGCTTGTTTTACAGTGGACTAACCGATAAAAACTTTTATTGGGAATTGGCCTACGTGAATGGGAAGAAGGTGATATTTATTTCTTTTTCTTCTGTATTATCAAGTTTTGATCCCATTATAAGAGTAATTTTATCACTTTTATTAAATCATTTTAGGCTCTAACTGGGATACTCATCCTATTTTTTGAAATTTAATTATCCTACAACCGTAATCCTTATATAAATCCCTAAATGAATGAAATTGATCGCTATAGTAATTATGCCTCTGTAAGTATTTCTTATTATTCAAGGCTATAGATTTCTATCCTGATGGGTGGCGTCATCTTTATAGATACTGATTCTGATAGGAACGAGGATTTTTAAGTTATTATACTAGCATTTATATTAGCTTCTAATATATTATTCGTTGCAATTTGGATGTATCATTTCTTTAGGATAATAATCATAAAAAATATTGGCTTAATTTAGAAGCGATTTGGATTATTTAAATCTTATAAAACAAAAATCAATCAGGAGCTGGAATAAATTCAAACTTTTAAACAAATTAAAGAATAAGTTAAATAGAGAGTAAAAGTAAAGGATAAAAAGGTAAGAACTGATAAGATTCAAAATGATGATAACGTTCGTTAGTACTAATAGATGAGCGATTTATCTTCGTCCACAAGCAGAGAGCTTTTATATAGTATCGATTACTCAAATCTTTAAAGACATAAAAATCGAAAAATTAGATTTTAAGTACATAAATGAACAACAAGAATCAATTATTTACTTAGTAAATTCTAAAAAAGTTTATTGATAAAGTATTAATTGCTTTTGAAATGTTATTTTATCTTGGATTATTACTTAATGATATCAATACACTAGAGTTGATTCCTAAGGATAAATCTAAAATAATAAAAAATTGAATTATTTAAATAAGTTTTAATAAATTCATTCATAGCGATTCCCATTATATTAAGCTTAATGGGGTTTTGGGGTTTTGGGGTTTTGGGG